AGTCGTGCCAAGGGCTACTCCCGCATTCTCGCCCTGCGGCTAGCCGCTTCGGAATTAGCCTCGGAACGGACGAAAACGACAGTCACTAGACGTGGCCAGTGCAGTCATCCGTTTCGTCGTTTTCAAGGGCTAGTCTCGACACTTGTCGTGGTAAAATTAGGGGTCTCTTCCTGACCCCTAATTTCTTCCGATGAGTCAGACGAAAGCCCCCGTAAGTTTTCCTTTAACCATTTAGCCTAAAGGCCAATTAGGCGAATTTCGGGTGACCGACAAAGGTTCGGTCACCCGACAAACAAGCCCGAACCTCTTCTCGAAGCCCGGGTCGAACCCGCATTGTTTCAGACAGACAAATCGTATGAGATTTATAATGGTCACACGTGCGCGGCTCTCATATCGACGCTTTCAAGGCTCAACAGTCTCTGACGTTATCCACTACTCTGCGAGGAACTACCAGGTCGTTAAGCAGAGTCCCAATGATACCACTCCTAGGAACGTAAAATATTAAAGGAGGCATGTTCTCACAGACATCAAAGAAAACCTGTCTCTTATACACATCTAGATGTGTATAAGAGACAGGACTTAGTGGCCCTTACAAGTGCTTCAGCACTTCGCTGGTTCCTCCCCCGTAATTGTGCGGACAACAGTTTCCCCCAATCAAGGGCCCGGTAATTAGTAAAAAAGAAATAAAAATATGGCATTGGAGGAGAATTACACTAACACCTCTTTGCAGCCCACTAGTTCTCCACTTAGAACTCAATTAGTTATTTCCAGCTCCGCGTAGATAACCATGACTGCTGGCTATGACTATCAAGTTCATCTGCGTCAAACAACTAAGGTGCACCAATCTGGCTAAGCATGTCGGTCGTCAGCGCTTCAATCATGCTCCTTATGAGCGAATGTACCCACGAATGATGTTTGAACGTCACTAGAGGACTTGCTGTTCTGTYGTTGGCTGTGTCTTGATTAGTGTCTGAAACTTCAATCTCACTCCTCTCTCTCTCACTCAGTCCGCTCTCTCCCTCTCTCTCACGCTGGTCAGTCC